TAACTATAGACATATAAACATTCCTTGGGCCCCGCCCAACATGGGACCGAAATCCGGAAACATACAAACATTCCTCGGCAACCGCCCCGGCATCGGACCGTTGTCCGAAAACATACAAATACATCCACATGCAAGAATCACAAAGACATCAAGCATACTAACATCCTTCGGGTACCGTCCCGGCATCGGATCGAAATCCAGAAAACATATAAATCTACATCGGGCCACGCCCGACATCGGATCTTAATCCAGAACATACTAACTTACGTAACGGGCCAGCCTTGGTGCCTTAGACCCGTTCCTAATGGAGGAAAACTCACCTCTCAAGCTGGCAGTTGAAATCTCGTGTGAGGAATCTATAATAGTTGCTCCAACGACTCCCCATCTATCATTATCACAATAATCACTTACTCAAAAACTGATAATCCTTCTAAGGGTGAAATGACCATTTTACCCCTGGTCAAAGTCATCATTCTGGTCAAAGTCAACATTCTGGTTGACTCAACTCGCCGAGTGGACCTATCAACTCGCCGAGTTCTATAACTCAAAAATCCTGGAAATTGCGATCCAACTCGCCGAGTCATCCCCCTGACTCGTCGAGTTCTATCTGGTACAAAATTTGGACAACACGACTCAACTCGTCGAGTCCTTCTATGGACTCGCCGAGTTCCTCTGTCTGTTTGAGCCATCATAATGGATTAAGCTCATATCCTTTAGATCCAAACCCGTTACTTCATCTACATAATGGAAACACACTTTTAAGGGTAAAGTTTCCAAGTTTACCCGTTATTAGTCCTTCTCAAAGGGTTTAGCTCAAACCCTAGCCCTCTAGAACATAGATCTTGGTCCAAAAGCCATAATACTCCAAACTAAAGCATACTAACATAGATCTAGGCCTTAGACATCATTTAGACACGTAAAACATCTAACTTTCCTTCCATGCATGGCCTTTTGGGGCTTAAAAGGCCAAACTAACCCCTTAAAACTTGCATGGGGATTCCATGGTCATAAAGTTTGCACCTTTATGCAATGAAACCCCTTCTAGACGCCAGATCTGAAAGATAGGTCACTTGGGACATCCATTTCCCAAGGACCAAGTTTCTTGAACCAAAAACCTCATAAAGTGGCAAAGAAGAGATCTAACAAGCTACTAAGCAAGGTTGAGACTTGGTTACCAGAAAATGAAGAGGATGAGAAGTTGTTTCTGGATCTACTAGCTTCCTTCTAAATCTCCAAGCTTATTCTCTTCTTCACAAGCTTCAAATACACAAAGTTTACTAAAAAAATGGCTCATAAACTCACAAAAGGCTCTAGGGTTTCGTGGATTAGGGTTTGGGACTTGGAGGTTGGAAATGAGGCCATAAATTGGGGATTAAGATGCTTAAATGGGGTGCAAAACCCCGAAATTAGGGTTTCATCCTGGCATCCCTACTCATCGAGTCTAGGCTCTCAACTCGTCGAGTAGGCGACATAAATCCCACGTCCAATCTCGTTTCTACTCGACGAGTCTGGGGCTCCCAACTCGTTGAGTAGCTCTTTAAAAATGAATAAATTATAATTCAATGTGTACCAGGAACCAGACGTTACACTTAACAATAATATCTCTCCATTTAACTATGTCTTGCTTTTTACGTCTGCTGGTGAGATGCTTTCCAGTCGTTTGGAGTGTAAACCTCTTATTAGTTCACTCAGTTGGCCTGATTGTATTTTTTTCTTTTATTTCTCTTATTAGCATGGTACACTTGATAGTTCTGTATCCCGTTGAATCGTTAAATTCACAATACATATACTAAGGTCTCTAACATTGGGTCTTTCCTGCTGTTTTTCTACATGGTTCTTCTTTCCTTCAACACTTGTCGCTATTTTATTTCAATTTCTATTCTAATACCCCAAAATTGGTTCTTTTGTGTTGATTTGATTTTCTTGTTCGTTGGTTCCTGTTATGTGTGTACCTCTGGCGACCTTCAATATTGTTTTTATAGTACGAAATTTGGCTTTCCCTTTATCCATTAGTATGTTATCGATCTCCACTTTTGCTTTTTATTTTTTCAGATGTTGCGCGCCTCCTCTTATTCCATAAACATGTGAACTTGTTCCATCATGTCTCTTCACGATTTTGGTCATTTGCCAACTAATTTCTTGAATAATATGTTGAGGCATAATCTGTATATGAACTCAAAAATGACCATCTTGTTGAATCTTTCTGGTACATTCATCATTGCTTTGTTGAAATCAAACGATAAAAGCTTGTAACGACTCGTCCTCTCTTTTTCGGCAACCCAATGTTTCTTGTGTGTATGCAATATACTTTCATTGTTGTATGGACTGGCCCATGAATTCTCCCCACAACTGTATTCCACGACAAGGTTGTTGGGAAAAATATGCACTATTATTTTTCATCCAAATAGTAAGCATCCATCGTCTATTTTTAGTTTTCATTATGATAATCAAGGTCTCCGAAACCGATATACATTGTAATTTATGGTAAGTTTGTTCTTGTTAGTAGCTGGTATTCATGGATACTTCTGATCAATGTTGAGTTTCCTAATCTTAACACACGACATTGGTTTACACCTATGCCATTTTTTCTTTGTGGGTTGTCATTTGTAAATGGGTGTGGCCATTAAATCATTAGCATTTTTGGGTTTCCGAACGCGAATAGTTGCTTATATACTTGTGTGCCTGTTGGGGCTAATATGCTTGATATTGTGAGTATGGCAGTGGTGGTGGAATTGATACATACGGCCGAATGGTTTACTGCATTGGTTGTGTTTATTGTTTTTAAGTGTTGTTGTAAGAGTTGTGTGTATGACTTATTTCCTTTGCAGATCGATTTGGATGGATGTGGTTTCTTGTTTCCTTGTTGCCCTTGAACAACTTGTTTTCTCGACCAAAACTGAGTTTTCTTGCTTATTTCTTATTTTTTCGACCATACTTTCCTTGTGAACTCCCATATCAATGTTTTTGTATTTGGTTGTACGGGTGTTTTTGGTTGGATGTGGTTGTATTATTGTTGTTTTGGTTGTATTTGGTGTGGGGTTCATATACGGTGTAAAAGCAAGTATGATGTTTATTAGGCTGAAAGGCGAGTATAGTGATGTACGTCGTGGTTTCCATTTTTCATTTATCTTTATTGCAGATGTCGTCAATGATTCTAAATAGCTTCTTACGAGGTCAATGGATGGTTGACTTCTTTTATGATCTCCATAAGTCTTCACATCTGCAAAATAAAAAGGATCTTGGTCAAGAGCATTACCGGGGTGCCCCCTCGATAATACTCTCTTATGCCAAAGTCAGAACTTAGAAGCATGATGCTGATATTCTTATAAATGTATTGTTTTTTTTGGAACGGCGGTATGTCTCAACTAAAGCCCCTTCGTATTATTTCAACGAAGACCCCGAGATCGAATCATCCAATAGGGCGGAGACGACCCCATAGGGATTCTAGGCCGAAATTCCCCACATGAGGAGATAAAACACTTTTATCAACTTTACAGAGGGCTTGCGGGAGTTGAACTCCCAACCTCCAACCTCTTATGGGTATAAAACTCATGTCTCTTCCCAGCTAGGCTGGAAGTCATTGACCTTATAAATGTATTGTGTTTTGATGTCTATTTGTTGCGTACCTTCTTGTTTGATGTGGGTATATATACTTTTAAGGAGGATTTCGATCTTTTCATATTTCCAGATAATAGCATTATACTCCAGTAGTTACTGTTTTTATAGAATAATATTTATTGAGTCATTTCGCCTAATTTTTGGGATATTGCTTTTGTACCAAGAGTGTACTTCATTCTAGTATGCATTGTGAGGTGCTTTTGTAGGCAAGGATAACATTCTTGGTATATATTTTCTCCGTAGTTTTTGGTTCTATAGGCTGCATAAGGCCTTTTGTGTCTACGTGGGTGGTGTAGATGGGTTGACACCATACCCCTTTAATGTCCAACATATAGATCAACAACTACTTCATGATATCTTGATTGAATCTCACTCCTTTGACTAGAAGTGAATGTATAACTTCGTAGAGCCCTGTATAACTTAAACAAACACCCAATTTTGTAATCTCTTTACCATGATCAATTTGGCTTTATAGGCCCACTTTTATCAAGAGTAATATCATGATATCCATATACTAACATGAATTCCATGAACGCAATATCATTTATATGATCACTTGACAATATCCCTTTATATAATTCCATATGAATCTCCGATTCCAACTATGAACCCTGGATCACCTTAGATCAATGAATTGATAAGTTCCAAGCTCTAATGCTCTCAATTTATCCTTAAATCAAGCAAATACACTTTAAATGTCGATCCTTCTCTTCTTCTAATAAATTCGCCATAGCTTCTTCCTCTTGAGTTCTCCAAAACGTTGGGTGCGCGAAATGGGAGGGAGAGTGAAGCAACTAGTTCTTATTTCAAGTTCTAATCTACTTTGGCCACTAAACTTTTAAGTTTTGTAAGCCCCCATTTATCCAATCTTGCAGCTATCCCCTTTTTAAGTATTCACAACTAGTCCTTCTCTAGCATTCTCATTACAAATTTGGTCATAGCTTAGTTTGTCAAATTCTAATTTGCTAAGGGTATCCGTAATGTATTGTTTAATAGAATGTTAAATAAGCTTGAATATGTAGTTATTGCATTGTCGGAATTCGATGGTATTTAAAAAAAAAAGTAGAATACTGTTTGTCGAATAATTAAATACTGTAGTATAAATTTCAAAATATTGTGGATACCTAATGAAAGAAAACATAAAATGTTATATTTGTCATCTTATATGTGAAAAAAGAGAATGTAAACAACAAAAGAACGATATTCAAAAAGTATTAAATTAACTTTATTCGTCTTCACAGTCCACTCAGAAGTTTTGTTCCCTTGAAATATCTAGCACGTAAATCACGCCATCACAGTGTATTAAACAAATCCTTGGGTGTATATAAGATTATGTAAGGCCATACACCCCATACACCATTCTTATCTTAAAAAGCATCCCCATGATATCCTCATCAAGCAGCTTCTCCGGTTCCTACTCTTTCACCAAGTCCAACATTGATCAAGAAGGATGGGTTAAAACCATGCGTAAATCCATCGTCGAACCAGATGATGAAGAAATATCTAAAATTCCCGTTTGTATCTACATTGTCCCTAAAGTACTCCTTGCCACTGATCCTGAATCCTATATCCCACAGCAAGTCGCGTTAGGTCCTTTCCACCATTGGCGCGAGGAGGTATACGACATGCAAAGGTACAAGCTTGAAGCAGCACGACGTACCCAGAAGTTCATGAATACTAGCTTCGAATGCATGGTGGAGTCGATGATGAAACAAGATGAGCCTAGAATCCGTGCTAGCTACTATAAATTTCTTGATATGCCTGGAGAGGTACTGGTTTGGATTATGGCTGTTGACATGGCGTTTTTACTGGAGTTCCTTCGCGTGTATTCCATAAAAGAACAACGTCGAACACTTGAGAAGGTTACCTCCTCGATGTCTCATTTGGTGGATGCCTCCGGGAAGAAACTGTGCCATATGGCGATTCTTCGTGATTTGGTTATGGTGGAGAACCAGATCCCATTGTTTCTGATGAAGACGATGTTGGAGCACAATCTTCGAGATAATGAAAAGAAATCCGCAGCAGAGACTTTGAAGTTGATGCTGATGGGGTTGTACCACGAGCTTTCTCCATTTAAAGAACAAGAGTTGCCTGATATTGACATCGACGACTGTGATCACCTTCTCGACTTTCTTTACCACATGACTGTGCCAATCAACAAAGAACTCCATATCGAAGCCATAGAGGTAGAGTATGAAGGTATCACCGAGGAAGCCGGTGATGGTGATCAAGATAAAGAATCTTTTGCAAAACCTAGTGATCTTCGACGGTTCATGGATTTTATCTGGAAAATCCTTTCCAAATCAAACGCCGCTCTCTTAAAGATTTTCAAGAAAATAATTTTCGGCAAACCAGTTACAGTTGTAATGAAACTGCCTTGGAAGATCTTGTCTAACCTTCCTATACTCAAACTCTTCAAAGAACCCGTAGAAAACATGCTTAGAAACTTTCATGGTGGAGGAGAGGAGAAATCAAAAGACGATAGTAACGATTCCAAGGTGCCACTAATAGAGGAAATAAAGATCCCGTCAGTCACCGAAATGGCCAAAGCTGGGATCATATTCTGACCCATTAATGGCGGAATCTTTGGAATCAGCTTCGATAACGCAACATCCACACTATTCCTCCCAGTAGTCAATCTGGACGTAAACACAGAAGTTTATTTGAGAAACTTGGTAGCATACGAAGCCTGTGTTGCAGCGGGGCCATTGGTGGTGGCCCGTTACACCGAGTTAATGAACGGAATAATCGATACTGAAGAAGGCGCAAAGCTTTTGAGTAAAAAAGGGATAGTTTTGAACCATTTAAAGAGTGAAAAGGAGGTTGCAGATTTATGGAACGGCATGAGTAAATCTGTGAAATTAACCAAAGTTCCCAAAATGGATAAAGTTATTGAAGATGTGAATAAAAGGTATGCTAAAACATGGAGGGTTAAATTGTCGAAGTTCATGAAGAAGTATGTATTTGCATCTTGGAGGATTCTCACTTTGTTGGCTGCTTTGTTTCTCTTGTTCTTGTCGACTGTACAAGCTCTGTGCTCTGTGTACAGCTGTGCTCGTGTGGTCAGTCAGCTACCAGAAATACCTGAAGGGACTGTCGAGTGACTGTGTTGTGCGTGTGTGTATTTCTTTATTTAGAAAGTTCAAACTAAAAGCTATTTAGGGCTCGATTTACTATATGGGGTTTAGGTTTGGATTGTAGTTTTTTTTTTTTTTTTTTTTGCTATTGGCTTTCGCATTAGTGTATCTATATCAATTAATAACAACAGAAAAGCTTAATACGTGCATATTACACTAAAGTTTTTCAAAAGCTTATTCATGGTCTCACAAAAAGCATATTTGTTTCTAAGTACGAAAATAAAAATTATACTGTATAAAATAAATAATCTTGTAAAAAGTTATACGTTGAAATAAAAATGATAACTCACTACCGGGAAAAAAGGGGTTTCTCACGCCAATTTTTATCGGTATTCCGTCGGTAAACGGCTTATAGACATATTTTCGACGTAATTTAGGTGGTCGTAAAAGGCCTTGTGGGTAATTATTTGTGACAGATTTTCGACAGATTATTTACAGAATTTTTCTGTCAGAAGTATATCGACAGAATGTTCATTGACGACGGAAGGTATTTTCCAACAAATTATCTATGCGTTTAGTGATACATATATCTGTCACTAAAATGGTTTTTATTAAACAGTAATTTTTTTAAAAAGAATATGTTTTTTTTTTTTACCAAAATGCAAAATAAATAAATAAATAAAAATAAAAGTCCTTACATTAAACCACTACAACAATTATCCCCTCTGCGATGACACCTATATCGACAACAGGTATCGTTGCTACAGATTGGACTATACTGACGATATGTCGTCACCACATGGTTGACAATGATCTTTTGACCTCAAAGTCTACACCGACGAAAAGTCGTTGCAATAGATAACGGGGGTAACGAAAACATTTTACCCATGTTTCTGAAATATATGTCGATGACTTGTTGCTATATATATGCTTGGAAAAAAATAATTAAAAAAAATAATTGTACAAGAAAACAAAACAACGTCGAGTTGGTTTATATCTATAGCAACAACATGGCATCGGTTAGTGACAAACCTATGTAGTGCCCGGGGGATCCCGGGCCACTACTCCATTTCAATCGTGTAGTGTAAAAAATTGATTTTCTATTACGTGCAACGTTTTCGAAATATGAGTGCTCTGTTATTGTTATTTTTTTGGTGCCACCACTACTCAGACAATATGCATCCACCACTGTCATCGGTATAGAGATAAATCGATCATGGAGTGGGTTATAAAGACGACATGTTGTTGGCATGTGTTGGTATTTAATTATTTTTCTGCTCTATCTTAAATAAACAAAACGACTATGTTTTGGTTTGGGCTATAGCGACACCATGTCGTCGTTATAGGATTCTTTCTTAAACATACTCTACATTGTGACCGGTTTCATAGCGTCGCACCTAAACTCTCTCTCTCTCTCTCTCTCTCACACACACACACACACAAACACATACTCTCTCTCTCTCACACACACACACACACACACATATATATATATATATATATATACACACACACACACTCTCTCTCTCTCTCTCTCTCTCTCTCTCCCCAACCTCCGCATCGTTGAGGCTGTTGGAAAGAATGTTCAGAGTCATTAACTATGGGTATTTTTTTGAACGACATAATTTATTATTAAAACTGGGCTAGCGAGTAGTTAGAGTTACAATACATTTGAGCATTCAATTTTAGGGGTATTACACTGATTAAACTAGTTCATGGACGAACCTTTCATAACTCTAATCTTCATCCAGTTATAAGCAAGAAGTTTAATCTCACCAAAAACCCAAAAAAGGGCAAGAAAAACAACCATTATACCCGTTTTGAACTTTCTGAGCAGTAACCATGTCAGCAATCGCTTCAAAGAGTCTTGGATCAAATATGCAGTCTTTAGGATGTCACTCTACTACTTGTTAGGAACGCTTTCACTTCTTTTATTATAGAACATTCAATAAAGATATGTTTCTCATTTTCAGTCTTGCTGTTGCAAAGAAGGAATATGGTGGATACAATATTAAGACCAATGCACTCAATATTAAAACGGGTGGAAAGTCTACCAAGTCTAGTTCTCCATGCCAGAATATTTGATTTAGTAGGAGCAACTCTATTCCAAGTAGCCTGAATCAGGTTTACGGTTTAGGGTTTAAGGTTTAGTAGGAGCAACACTTAATATTGTTGTTGGATCAGGTTCTGATCTAACAAAAAGGCATGTGTTGGTGCTTAATTACTTTTATGATCTATCTTAAATAAAAAACGATGACGTTTTGGTTTGGGCTATAGCAACACCATATCATCATTGTAGGGTTCTTTCTTAAACATACTCTACATTGCGACCTGTTTTACAACGTCGCACCCAAACTTTCTCTCTCTCTCCTCTCTCTCTCTCTCTCTCTCTCTCTCTCTCTCTCTCCCTCTCTCTCCGTCGAGTCTGTTAGAAAGAATGTACAGGGTCATTAACTATTGGTATTTTTGTTTTGAACGACTGAAATCTTTATTAAAACTGGGCTAGCGGGTAACTAGAGTTACAATACATTTGAGCATTCAATTTTAGGTGTATTACACTAATTAAACCAGTTAATGGCCAAACGTTTCCTAGCTTTAGCCTTCATCCAATTATAAGTAAGAAGTTTAATTACACCAAATAACCCAAAAAAGGGCAAGAAATAAAAACCATTATACCCGCTTGAACTTTCTGAGTAATAACCATGTCAGCAATCAATTCAAAGACTCTTGGATCGAATATGCAATCTTTGGGATGTCACTCCACATTTGTTAGGAACTCTTTCACTTCTATTATTGTAGAACACTCAATAAAGATATGTTTCTCGTTTTCGGTCTTGATATTACAAAGAGAGCATATGGTTGATACAGTATTAAGACCAATGCACTCAATATTTAAACAGGTGGGAAGCCTACCAAGTCTAGTTCTCCATGCCAGAATATTTTCTTCCACAAGATAAACTCTATTCCAAGTATTCTGAATCAGATTCTGATCCAACGAAGAGTCATCAATTATCCTCCTAAGAGAAGTGGGCGAGTATATTTCATAGTCATCACCAAGCCACAACCAAGTACCATTTTGATAATTGAATAGCTTGTTGAGTCCAGATTGTGGTCTAATATATGTCGTGGAAGGTGATTAATGGTACCCCACGTCCCTTATCTGTTAGCAGCAGATCCGTCTCGACCAATGCCTCCATCGGAACCATGAATTGATGAATAACATCCTTCTAAATAGATCCATGATCACATCTAAACCTCCACCACCATTTCCCATGGATCCCTATATTAAATGCCCGAACACTTCCGATCCCAAGGGTCCTTTTGGGTATCCCTCATTTGAGGAATTGAAAGAAAAAGGAATCAAGGAGAAAAATTATTGTATTGATTTATTATGTTTAATAAAGTAATTAGAAACTATTTTTTAATTAATTGAGACTTAATTAATTTCAGGTATTGAATATTAATTAGTTAAAAGTTAACTAATTAGAATATTCTAGAATCCCTACGGGATAATGAGGAATTCGAATTTTACATTATCCCACACACTACATGAAACCATGTCATTTTCGGCGACACATTTACCGGCGACAAAGACTTTTAGCGGCGACTCAAGCTTAAGAGTCTGCTAAAAGTCTTTGTTGTTAGTAAAGCGTCACCGCTAATGCCTGTAAACCACGATCCGCATCAAGACTTTTTGTGAAACCTTGTCTGTTCGATTTGTCTATAATCCAAGAGCTGGTGTCATCCGTTTTGTGTAAATCAATAGCGGCGACACCAATACCAGCGATAGTTTCGCCGCTAATAGTCGAAAAAAAACCCGTAATATTTTCCCTCTTTTGTTGTCGTCTCCATTTACTAATTGTCGTCCCTATTGATCGATTCATTCCGCTCTAAAGTGTCGTCGGTATTACCTGTCACAGATTGGTCCAAGTGTGACTGTCTTTCTTCTCATTTTGTTTCACTTTTTTTCCTCTCGTGTTTCCTCCAATTTTCCACCGATTCAGGCCAAACTACCGGTGAAGGCTACAGTGAAGCTACCCCAAACTACCTACTGTAACATTACCGGCGGAGGCTAAGGAGGTACCAACAACAATTGTTTCTTCTCCGATGATTGTTGTTTAATTCCGATGACTAAGGTAAAATTCCTTCCTCATTTATGTTTCTCTTTCTCTTGTAACATCGATTTCTAGTTTATACAAGAGTTAATTGCAAAAAAAAAATCATTTATTTCAATTTCTTTTTGTTGTTGCTGACACGGGATCGACTACCATGTACCACACTACACCACCTTGTTGACTTTCGGCCACCATTGTTGATTTCAGACCACCATAGGTTCCTTCCTCTATTAGTTTCGAGATTATTTGCAAAATTTGTGTATTTATGTCTATTATGTGAAATTTTCCATATATGTGTATATATATATATATATATATATATATATATATATATATATATATATGTGTGTGTGTGTGTGTATTTGCCTGGTATATGTATCTGAATGTATGTATAATGTGTATTTGTATGTATGAAAACATGAATGTGGAATATTATATGTGTATATAGTGTATGTATATGTGTATTTGTATGTATATATGTGTATAATGTGTATTTCTCTGTATGAAATATGGATTGTATGAATGTTTGAAATGTGGATTGTATGTATGTATGAAATGTGGATTGTATGTATGTATAAATTATTTATGTATATTGAATTTGAAATGTAATGTGTATATTGCAATGCTATATTGGAAAAAGAATAAATAAAGTAGGACGCTATTATTGATAATGGTATTTAAAGTATATGTGTATTTGTATGTAATGTGGATTGTATGTGTGTATAATGTGTATTTGAATTTGTATATGGATATTTGAATTTGTACACAATGCTTAAATAGAAAAAAAAAACAATGTAATATTTAAAGTATAATGTTATTATAGAAAACTTAAAACAAATCAAATACCATAAATAACAAAAATATACAAAACTAAGATGTCATAAATAACAAAAATAAACCTTCCAAATTTTA